AGGGGGGACGGGGGGATACTGGGGACACTGGGACATGGGGGGGACACCAGGGACAGGGGGGACACGGGGGGGACACTGGGGAGGGACACAGTGACACGGGGGACAGGGGGACATGGGGGGACACGGGGTGGACACCGGGGACAGGGGGGACATGGGGGGGACATGGAGAGGAGGTGGGGGGACACTGGGGAGGGGACAGGGGGACATGAGGGGGACACCAGGGACAGGGGGGACACCAGTGAGGGGAGAGGGACGGGGGGGACACTGGGGGGACACTGGGGAGAGGACAGGGACGGGGGGGGGCACCCGGGAAAGGGGGGGGCACGGGGGGGGGACACGGGGACAGGGGGGATGAGGGGGAACACAGGGGAGGACCACCTGGACCCCCCTTTTTTGGACATTTTGGTGTCTCCTGAGTGCCTGGCCCTCGTTTTTTGACATTTTGGGGTTCCTGGTCACCTGGACCCCCATTTTTGGGTAATTTTGGGGTCTTCTGACCACCCGGCCCCCGGTTTTGGACATTTTGGGGTTCTTGGTCACCTGAAGCCCATTTTTGGACATTTTGGGGTCTCCCGAGCACCCGGCCCCCACTTTTGGACATTTTGGGGTTCCTGGTCACTTGGCCTCCGTTTTTGGGTAATTTTGGGGTCTCCCGCCCCCCCCAGGCCAACAGGTGGCCATCAAGAAGATCCCGAACGCCTTCGACGTGGTGACCAACGCCAAGCGGACGCTGCGGGAGCTGAAGATCCTCAAGCACTTCAAGCACGACAACATCATCGGCATCAAGGACATCCTGCGGCCCACGGGGCCCTACGGCGAGTTCCGCTCCGTGTGCGTCCCCCGGGGGGGCCCGGGGGGCTCTGGGGGGGCCGGAGGGCGCGTGGGATGGAACCCAATGGGTCAACTGGGGGCGTTGGTGTGGCCGAGGTCAATGAGGGCAATGGTGATGGTCAGCGGTCAACGGGGTCAACGGTCAAGGTCAGTAGTCAGTGGTCAAGGTCAACGGTCAAGGTCAGTAGTCAATGATCAATGTGGTCAATAGTCAAGGTCAATGGTCAAGGTCAATAGTCAATGGTCAGTGTCTACGGTCAACGTGGTCAATGGTCAATGTGGCCAAGGTCAATGAGGTCAATGGCAGGGGTCAAGGTCAATGGTCAACATCAACATGGCCAATGTCAATGGTCGAGGTCAGCGGTCAATGTGGCCAAGGTCAACATGGCCAATGTCAACAGTTGACATCAACGTGGTCAAGGTCAACTTGGCCAATGTCAATGGTCAACATCAACACGGTCGACGTCGACTTGATTAATGTCAATGGTCAGCGTCAACGTGGCCAAGCTCAACGTGGTCAAGGCCATCGACACGGCCAACGTGACCGTGGCCAACCCTCCCGTTGCCCCCCCCCCCCAGGTACGTGGTGCTGGACCTGATGGAGAGCGACCTGCACCAGATCATCCACTCGTCGCAGCCGCTGACTCTGGAGCACGTCCGGTACTTCCTGTACCAGCTGCTGCGCGGCCTCAAGTACATCCACTCGGCCAACGTCCTGCACCGCGACCTCAAGCCCTCCAACCTGCTGGTCAACGAGAACTGCGAGCTCAAGATCGGCGACTTCGGCATGGCCCGGGGGCTGGGCGCCGACCCCCGCCAGGCCAAGGCCTTCCTCACCGAGTACGTGGCCACGCGCTGGTACCGCGCGCCGGAGCTGCTGCTGTCGCTGCACCGCTACACCCGCGCCATCGACATGTGGTCGGTCGGGTGCATCTTCGCCGAGATGCTGGGCCGGCGCCAGCTCTTCCCGGGCCGCAACTACGTGCACCAGCTGCAGCTGATCATGGCGGTGCTGGGGACGCCGCCCGCCGGCGTCATGGCGGCCATCGGCGCCGAGCGGGTGCGGGCCTACGTGCAGAGCCTCCCGCCGCGCCCGCCCGTGCCCTGGGAGAGCCTGTTCGGCGCGGCCGAGCCGGCGGCGCTGGCGCTGCTGGGCCGGATGCTGCGCTTCGACCCCCGCGAGCGGGTGGGCGTGGCCGAGGCGCTGCGCCACCCCTTCCTGGCCAAGTACCACGACCCCGAGGACGAGCCCGAGTGCGTCCCCGCCTTCGACTTCGCCTTCGACCGCCAGGCGCTCACCAAGGAGGAGATCAAGGCGGCCATCGTGGCCGAGATCGCCGACTTCCACGCCCGGCGCGACGGCATCCGGCGGCACATCGCCCTCGCGCCCTCGGGCGGCGGGGGCGGGGTGGGGGGCGGGGTGGCCAACGGGGGGGTCAACGTGCCCAACGTCAACATGGCCAACGTCAACATGGCCAACGCCAACATCAACGTGGCCAACGTCAACGTGGGCAACGCCGGCATCACCGTGGCCAATGCCAACACCAACATGGCCAACATTAACGTCAACATGGCCAATGCCAACGCCAACATGGCCAACAGTAACATCAACATGGCCAACGTCAGCATGGTCAATGTCAACATGGCCAACGCCAACGTGGCCAACGTCACCATGACCAACACCAGTGTGGCCAACGCCCCCCCCGGCCCGGCGTGGCCGCCCTGCGCCGACGTGGACATGCCGAGCCCCGGCCCCGCCCCCGACTGCCCCATGGACTCGCCGCGGGTGAAGGCGGAGCCGGGCGGGGCCCCCCCGGCGCCCAAGCGCGACGGCGCCATCTCCGACGACACCAAGGCCGCGCTGAAGGCGGCGCTGCTCAAGTCGGCCATGAGGAACAAGAGCAAAGGTGGGGAGGGGGCGCCCGGGGGGCCTAAAGGGGGGAGGGGTGGCTGCCCCCAGGGCTTGTGGGCTGGGGAAGGTGGGTGAGGTTGGGGTGGGTTGAGTTGGCATTGGTTGAGTTGGCATTGGTTGAGTTGGGTTGTGATTGGTTGGGTTGAGTTGGGTTGAGTTGAGTTTGGCTGAGTTGGGTTGGGATTGATTGAGTTGAGTTGGGGTGGGTGGGTTGAGTTAGGTTGAGTTGAGTTGGTTGAGTTGGGTTGAGATTGATTGGGTTGGGTTGAGTTGGGTTGAGATTGATTGGGTTGGGTTGAGTTGGTTGAGTTGGGGTTGGGTTAAGTTGGCTTGAGTTGAGTTGGTTGGGTTGGGTTCAGTTGAGTTGGTTTCAGTTGAGTTGGGTTGAGTTGGTTGGACTGGGGTCGGTTGGTTGGGTTGAGATTGGTTGAGTTGGTTGGGTTGGGGTTGAGTTGTGTTGAGTTGCATTGGTTGAGTTGGGGTTCAGTTGAGTTGTGTTGAGTCGCGCCGGTCGCCTTCACCTTGTTTGATGTCCCTTGGCTTTGCCGCCCCCCCCTTGGTTCCTCCACCCCCCAGACCCTCCCTGCGCGGCCCCCGAGGCCCCCGAGGGCCGGAAGCCGGTGACGGCGGCGGAGCGGCAGCGGGAGCGGGAGGAGAAGCGTCGGCGGCGCCAGGAACGCGCCAAGGAGCGCGAGAAGAAGCAGCGGGAGCGGGAGCGGCGCGAGCCCCGCCCCCGGGGGGAGGGGCTGCAGGGGCTGGTCCTCACCGACGACGACCGGCACCTCCTGGAGCGCTGGACCAAGATGCGCGACGGGGCCACGCCCCAGACCCGCCCCCCGGCACCGCCCCCCCATGCCCCCGACCCGCCCCCCGCCCCTCCCCCCGGACCCCCGCCCTGCGCCGCCCCCCCGCCCCCCGAGGCGTGGCCGGGCCCCGAGGCCTGGGCGGAGCCTCCCGCCGGCCCCGCCCCCACCGGCCCCGCCCCCGCCGGCCCCGCCCCCACCGACCCCGATGTGGCCACGGTGACGCAGCAGCTCTCCAAGTCCCAGGTGGGTGGGTGCAGGGTGTTGGCGGGGGCGGGGCCCGGGTGTGGCCACGGCCCCTCTCACCGCCCCGCCCACAGGTGGAGGACCCGCTGCCCCCCGTGTTCCCGGTGACCCCCAAGGGCAGCGGCGCCGGTTACGGCGTCGGCTTCGACCTGGAGGAGTTTCTCAGCCAATCGCTCGACATGGTGGGGGACCCCAAGGACAGGTGAGCCTCGGGGGGGGTTGGGGTTGTTGGGTTGGGTTGGGTGAGTTGGGTTTGGGTCGGGTTTGTTGGGTTGAGTCGGGTTTGAGTTGAGGAGTTTGAGTTGTTTTGGGGTTGATTTGTTGAGTTGGGTTGGGTCTGGTTTGGTTTGGGGTCAGCTGGGGTTGAGTTGGGTTGGGGTCGAGTTGGGTTGGGTTTGAGTTGAATTGGGTTGGGTTTGTTGGGTTGGATTTGTTGGGTCGGGTTGGGTTCATTGAGTTGGGGTTGAGTTTGTTGGGTTGGGTTCAGATTGAGTTTGGTTGGGTTTGTTGGGTTGGGTTGGGTTTGGATTGAGTTGAGTTGGGTTTGTTGAGTTTGGGTTTAGTTGGATTGGGTTGAGTTGAGTTTCTTGGGTTGGGTTGGGCTCAGATTGAGTGGGGTTGAGTTTGTTGGGTTGGGTTGGGCTCGGATTGAATTGGGTTTGTTGGGTTGGGTTTGTTGAGTTGGGGTTTGAGTTTGTTGGGTTGGGTTGGGTTCGTTGAGTTGGGGTTGAGTCGTATGACTCTCCCCTTTCCTCGCCGCGCCGCCCCCACCCCCTGAGCCCCCTCCCTCCCCCCCTTCAGCCAGGGGGACTCTGCGCCGCTGTCGGCGTCGCTCTTGGCCGATTGGCTGGAGGTTCATCGGCTCAGCCCCGCGGCCCTCGAGAGCCTCCAGCGCGACCTCCAGCTCGGATCCCCGATGCTCTTGGCCGACGACCTCCCCGAGCCCTGACCCGGGGGGGTAAAGGACCCG